CACCCAGGGTGGAGTGCAGTGGTGTGATCATGGCTCACCTCAACCTCCCAGGCTCAAGCAATCCTCCCCCTCAGCCTCCCAAGTGGCTGAGACCACAGGTGTGTCCCACTGCTACTGGCTAATTTTTTGTAGAGGCAGGGTCTCACTATGTTGCTCAGGCTGGCGTCAAACTCCTAGGCACAAGCCATCCTCCAACCTCAGCCTCCCAAAGTGTTGTGATCACTCAAGTAATTTACTGATCAGTGTGATCTTTTCAGAGTTTGATTTTAAGTTTTTTTAGGGTGGGTCTAGTGTACCCCTAACTCTAGGACTAACTGAGCCCTACTATTAAAGTGGCTTCACTGATTTCCCCGGGTGTTAAAAGTATCTTGCCATTCTAGCTGGCTGGAATTTAAACCTCTCCTAGCCCTATATAATCCCTGGGAATTGTTCAGTCTGCAGTTCCTCGGTGGTGTATATGCAGGTTAGGATTCATCAGCAGACTCAAGGGTACTTCTCTCAATTTCTGAAGTGCATTATCTATGTAGCTTCCTCCTCTTCCTTACTTTTCCCTGCCATGGTAGCCACCTCCACCTCCCTGAACTTTAATCTCTGTCTTCTCATTCAGTGAGACTACAGCATTCTATGTGGTTTCTTTCCCCTCTGCTGTGTCCTGGAAATTACCTGCAGATAGAAAGCAGGGAAGATGTAGGCGTTTGCACCATCAATTTTCTTCCTTCCTGGACTGTTTTCTACACTACCTAGTGCTCAACGAATGAAACCAGCTGTTTCATAAATTTTGTTCAGTTTTATGGTTAATCGCAGCAAGAAGCAAAATCCAGTATTAATTACTGCAATGTAGCCAGAAACAAAAGTGATCCTGGGATGTTACGTTTATATACTAACACAAAAAAAGACAAAGATCTTAGATTTTAATCCTCATGGACTGGGAGCTGTATTGCATAAATCAGCAAATCCTTTTTATATGGTATATTATGACCTCCTTAAAATATTTTGGTGTTCCTATACCATAATACTATAATCTAGAAAATCACCCCAGAGATGATACATATTGGAAAGACTATTACTTATTGTCCTCCTAAGATATCTCATTAACTTGCAAGTTGTGACCTTCTACCTACACAGTAAAGACTCCAACATTTTAATTTGTGGACCTTGACCCCATCCCATTAGCTACTAGACATCTCCTCCTCACTTCCCAGGTTCAACAAACCTAGTTATTTCCTTTCCGTCAATCACACCACCATCTCTTCCACAACTGGCTTTTCCTTCTCTATTCAAACTTACTTCTTAAACCAGATGCTAAAAATAATCACCAGATGTTATTCCTTTTCAGCCATACTCCACATGAAAAAGCAGTCACCAAACTTTATTATTTCTCCCTTCTAGCTGTTGCTGACATGTCTTACCCATGTCTATAATTTAGATTTCTAGTATTTCTTGCATGGACTAGTACAGTACTATGGTAGTTGTTCTTCTCTGAATTGCCTTAGTTCTTTCTGATCTATCTTCTATATTTCCATACAAAAGATATTCTAAGATGCAGTTTAGTCATTTATCCTTATTAAAATGTCTTCAGTAAAGCCGTATCATTTATCTGCATAAACATACATTTTGTGACAATAAATTTTGTTCATGACCTGATATCTCATCTCCTTCTCATCTTCTACCTTTTTACTTTATGCTCCAATTTTACAAAAATATTCTTCTAGTGAGTCCTTTGAGGAGGCTCTGTTTCCATCTGGAATCCCTTTAGTCTACGTTTCCACCTATCACATCTCTCTCGTACTTTATAAACACTTCTCAAATGTTGTTTCCCAAAGGAAGTGTTCTGTGGCCCCCAAATCTTTTTGCAGAGATACAATTATCTCTATATTTTATAAATGCTTCTATTGGTCTACTTATTTCACTGCATTATAATTTGTTTACATGTCTTTTTTTGTCTTTACCATATTTTGTGCCTTTGAAGACATAGATTCCTAGTCATCTTCGAATTTTCCATGCCTATCACAACTAAAATCTAGTAGCAACATCAGAAATGTGAATCTAGGAAACTTTATGCAGCCCAAACATGGTACATCCTTTCCTTTCTTCTGCAAAGGCACAGGTTCCTCACCATCCTATTACAGGATAAGGGGAGAGGCAGAATCAGAAAGACAAAACTACAGTTCTGGCAGGCTTGAGAAATTGCCTACTAATTTTTTTTCTATTTGTAGTCCACAAGGTAGACAGTCCTGTTCTCTTCCTTATTGACTAGTTTGTGCTAAAATATAATCTTAAAGGCTTAAAAATATGATGTTATGCAAATATGAAATGAACTTGTTAAAGATATTCTTTAACTCACTAGCTAATGCATTGGAAAGACATTACAATAAGTAATAATGTAAAAAAGACTTATTTTAATAGTATTAACAATATGTTAGCAAGTGAATTAAGAATCAGTTCAAAGAAGGGCCTGAAGAACAGACATATATATAGTAAGGAATGCTGAAATAAATTTTCTAATAATATAATTAGGTAATATCTTTATTGGACAGTAAAATATAATGTTTGAGAGTATCTCTTCTATCCGGCACAAATCAATTTTATCCCTAATAAGTAAGACTTATTTGCACTGATATAGAAAGAACCTTTTGTGTAGCTATCAGTTCTCTACTATTTCTACCCTTACAGATTTACAAAATAGTCTACCCAATAAAAAGTCAAAGATGCATACCCTCATAAAACCAGTTACTCCAGAAAATTAGCTAGACAGTGTGCAGCCCTCAATTGTAAAGACACTTGTAATTTCCAAGTCTTGGAATTTTCTTCCCTGACATCAGTGAAATAATATTCCTTCATTTCCCAGAGAAAAAAATTATATTTGCCAGATGGGATATACACACAACTCTTAAGACATTTTGAAGACTTTTAATTGAAATCTAAAAATGCAAAGCATTATAGAGTGAAATGCCAGAAGTTTTAGCTTTAACTTTTTCCAGTTTATAAATCTAAAAGGCTCAATCTTAATAACATACATTCTAGGGTCAGGCTGCCTGACTATGAATCACAGCTCCAAGGCTACCTGACCTAGCCTAGAGCAAGCTAAAAACTCTTGATGCTTTATTTCTCTCATCTGAAAAATGAGAATGATAATATTTACCTCATGTGTAATAAGGATTAACTGAGCTATTTTCATTTTATTTTTTGTGTATATACTGCACTTGGAACAGCACCTGGCACATGTTTAACATTATAAGGATTTGTTTAGCAAAATTTGAACATATAACATAGATAGAAGAAAAGGAAGAAAGGTTTGCATTTAAGTCTTTGAAGGCATCTTCATGAACATTTATGATAGTGACTCTGGACTTCTATTCCTATTCAGCCATTATTTAAGAGAAACAACTCCTTCCTGAATTACCTAAGGCCAAAGACAATTTACCCAGAAACCATTCCATTTTCTTTTGATACTGATTCTGTAGGAATTTTCTTCTTTTGAGGGAAATCTAGCATTTAGTAACCTGTGGAGAATAACATTTCTTCTAGTGATGACTTGATTCTACTCTTCGCAAAGACAACTTTAATGATACTGAAGGAGCACATACTTGAGTTAAGAATGGATCTGAGCACACTGGCTCATGCCTGTAAACCCAGCACTTTGGGAGGCCTAGGCGGGGGGATCACTTGAGGTCAGGAGTTCAAGACTAGCCTGGCCAACATGATGAGACCCCCCCATCTCTACTAAAAATACCAAAATTAGCTGGGTGTAGTGGCGGGCACTTGTAATCCCAGCTACTTGGGGGGTGGAGGTGGGAGAATCGCTTGAACCCATGAGGCAGTGGTTGCAGTGAGCTGAGATCATGCCATTGCACTCCAGCCTGGGTAGAAGAGTGAGACTCCATTTAAAAAAAAAAAAAAAAGATCTGAGACATGAAGGACAAAGAACTCCATCTCCCTCTAGATACTTTCTGAGCCTCATATTTTTCCTGATTTCAGCTCATTCCACTAGCCAAAAATGATCATCCAACTTGAAAAGTTTCTGCATAAATTAAGTACATCAATCAACAATGATTTACCAATAAACTTAAAACTAAAAAGCATTCCGCAAACCCCTAAGCTATAAGTGAGAGCTCTACAATGTATACCACCCAGAAGATAGGTGGGACTATATATGTTAGTTAGTGGAGAAAATGGATACAGGACAGGCCACACTACCAGAATGATGTGCTCACCATGCATTATGTTGTTTTTCACAATAAACCTATGAGGTAGGTACCTCCTAATTTTATTTCCTCCAAAATTTAAGGAAGCTTAGATTTAATTGGTTGTGAAGGTCACACAGCAATTACACTGTAAGACTTGACTGTGGATTTTACCAGAATGGAAAATTCCCATTTCATCCCTTTTCTCCAGTCTGTGACCATACTCTATAGGTACTCCTTGGGGTCATGTGCATCCTAGAGGATGCTTTCTTGCCTTGAGACCAAGGACACAGGTGGCGTTACCCAGGTGATCAAAAGAAATCTAAGCTTTTTTTTCCGCTTGCCATATTCATCCCTCAATATAGTCAGGGAGACTTATTTTTATTTAGGAGTTGATTCAGAGTTATTTTCAAAATATATGTTCTGTTTCTCAAGAAAACATACTAAAAAATGAATGCTTAAAAAAATTTTTTTATTTGAGCAAAAATATGTATACTTAATTTTAGTTATGCCAGAAATAATTATAACTTCTCAGTCCAAGGATGTTAGGAACCAACTTACAGAGCATGCTCCAAAAAGAATTATCTTGGCCTTTGAAGGTATCTATTTTCAAACTCAATAGTAGAGTCAAGAAAAAATTGACAATTAGAGTTTTCAAAATTGAAAAATATTACATATTTTATATAATAATTTATGGTTTATAGATTTTATTTTTATATGTATCTCTATGTAGTGGTACACTGAGGACATAGCAAATATACAATAAATACTTATTAAACTAAAGTGAACCGACAAAAACCAATGATTACACCATTTCTAACAACCAAACCAGCTATTGCTTTTCAGTCTTTTGGTGACACGTTGAGATAGGAAATCATATTCAAATTGGTTAGCTCCTTGGAAGAAATAGTAGTATCCTGAAAATGAAAACAAATTAAATAGTTTAATTTCCTCCCTGTAGTTCTTTAAATAAAACCAACAACAACATAGATCTATTTTCATAGATTGTCTGGATTAGATGACCTATGGGCTGTGACTCGTGCCCTTAACTGCAACACTTTGGGAGGCTCAGATGGGAAGACTGCTTGAGGCCAGGAGTTTGAGATCAGTCTGGCCAAGATCACAAGACCCCATCTCTATTTTTAATTCAAAATATAACAAATTTAAAAAAGATGCGATGTGATTTGAGACCATAAATGTTGGGGACCCGCTGTGTGTCATGTCCCCCCAGACATCTACCTACAGCGAGTCATACTCCAGGTAGAGGATTCATGAGACAGGATATTGGACCCAGGTAGGGTGCGCAGGGGCTTTGATGGAGAAAACAACACTAGGGAGGGGAAGGAATGCAGATGAAAAATCTTGGCCCCATGCACACTTGCATAGGCTGGTATTGTTTGAAGACATATGACACAAACTCAAGTTTCTCTCAACTCACCTCAGTCCTCAGTCCATGAGGGCCTATGAGGGCAGAAGGGACTACAGTGCAAAGTGTAGGAAAAGGTAAGATGCCAGACTGCCCGAGTCTTGGCTGCCGTGTGCTTGCCTGCACATACTGTGCAGCTGATGAGGTCAAAGGAAATTCCAGAGACTCAGGAACATGGGAAATAGCAACAATCGCATTCCCACTGCCTGCCAGACAACCCTGAGAATACACCACTTGTGCTACCAGCCCCTGCTCATTCTAGCTCTCTTATTCAGAGACGCGTGCTGCGTGAGTTTTTCCTTATGGCTCTGTGGGGAATTGCAGAGACCTGTCCCTTTCCAATTTGGAGCCCTGTTCTTTAATCTTAGAGGATTTATAGTTTTGAAATGGGATTTCCAGTATCTTCATGGTTTTCTCAACTACTTACTGTTTTTAGAAAAGACTGCATCAATTTTCGACCCAGTTACTGGGAAGTTCTTGGTAATCAGTTTGGGATAATCAGGGTCCATCAAATGTCTCCTCTCATCATACCTGAGCAAAGAAGTAACCAGCAGGATATCATTTAAAAAGGGGCTTTCCTGACATGCACCACAAATCCGCCTTCTCTACTGAAGGGCTCTTTCCAAAAGGGCTTAAGTTGTTCTAATGAAGAAAACCAAGGACCTAAACAGTTCATTGATTTCCTCTAAGTCCCTATAGGACTCAAACCTATGTTTCCTGACTCTGGTTATGTTTTTCTCCCACTACCCCATGATACTTCCCCCAGTGCTTGGTCCTGCTTTATAGACTCTGGCATGGAAGGCGATTTGGTTACAACATTCGCCCCAGTGACCAGTTCTTCAGCTGCCTGTCATTGCCATTTTTCAAAGCTTTCCACTGAGACAAAAATACCCATTTCCCCTAAGATCATAAACAGGTCAAGGGACTAAGAGCCAGGGAACCAAAGGGTTTTAAACACACATGTTCAAGAGAAATTGAAAGTAAACCCTTTTATTTCTAGGCTCTATGGTCAGGTCCTAGTTTCTCTCTGAAATTCTCTTTCACCAGCAAGTGAAAAGAGTTTTGTTTCTCTCTAGACTTCCAAGTGGCAACTGAATCTAACTGTTACCTTGTTTTTATTCAGTTTAGTTCTCTAAGCATTTATGGCTTGTTTAGCACTCTCTCACTGGCCTTTAAGGGGAAACTCCTGGGCCAAGTAGAAGCGGAAAACTAAACAGAGCCACTGTTCAGAGTTGAAATGTCAATGTTCATAATAACAGGCTACAGCAAACCACACTCATCTGTACACTCTTTAGAAAGTGTTATTTGCTAAAATCAAGTTTTGTTTCTCAAACAGGGCTAAGGGTTGGTGGTCAAGTTCAAGTCATAAGCATGAGGTATTCAATTGGAATTGGATGTTGAGTTTTAAATGTTTAAGAAAAAATAATAATTGTAAATGTAAGCTTAACATATACATCATGTCTCATGTCAACCAGGCAAGCAATCTGGGAAATGACTGGCTTACTCAGAAGAAGGAATAGAGAATCCTCTCCTCCTTCAAAATTTAGACACTTGAGACAAAAGAGATAGACACTCAAATGAGCACCTATCCTCACTTGACCAGAGTCTGACTTTCTTTTAAGGAGGAACTTGCAAGACCTCCTGTCATTTGGAGGATAATTTCCTCATTTTGTCTTTTGAATCTAGTGATTATAGAAAGCAGTCTGAAAATCCATACACCCTCCAAACTGACTGTTGATTAAATACTTGATCTTGTACATCTATGACACTATTTTCCAATGTGCTTCCATTATGATTAATAACATGACATTTTATTAAGTATTTTTTTAAAAAAACACATTACTATCTCATATATCAGAAATTGAGAACATAAATAGCTAGGTTGACAATAACTGTTTTTGTCCTATATTCGCTTAATCTCTCTCCCTGGAAGGTCAAGGAGCTTTGGGAACTTGCGCAGAAAAGATGCTTTCTGGAAAACCCCATCCCATGCCTGTTGAAAAATCTGAGGGGTCAAATGACCAACCATTAAAGCTCACCTCCAATATTGGTTATCTATAAAGAAAGTAGGTCTTATGTAAATGTGGGTTATAAACAGCTGCATCAATTTTTTTCACAAAGTTAGGGAAACCAAAAGAACGTATGTTCTTAGGATAATTTGGCTGTGGTCTTAAATTGCTAATCAACCAGTATTTGTCATCTGTGAAGACAAAGAAAAAGGGTACATTTGAATCATACAGAAAGAATAATAAGAAAATATTGATTTACTACAAACAACATAATTCCTTTCCCACAGTTATAAAATGTATTGCTTATTTATCTTGAGCATAGTCTATTTTCTATGGCTCCTGTGGGTTTTTTTCCCACAAGTATTAGTATTTTATAGTTTACAAACTTTTTCCGAAAGTTGTATGTATTACTTAGGTATTCAGGCAATTTAAGCTTATAATTAAGAGCCACCATTAATAAAATCTAGAGTGCTTTTTGGTCTATATCTGTTAGAAGGTATTAATCTCTTCTTAATTCATTCTCTTCCTTGAAGTAGACTCAATGACAAAACTAAAGATTAAAATTACCTTTAAAAAGAAAAACTTGATTTCTGGCTTCAATTTCATAAGCAGCTTGAATGCTAGATGGCAAGGTTGGCCATAAGGAAGAAATTAAACTAACACTGGTCTTTGGCCTCTGAGGAAATGTCACCAAGAGGAACCTGGCATGAAAGACATTTGACACATGTTTAAAAACAACATAGACTCAAGAACCATGGCATGTGAATGGGAAGGACCTGTGAAAAGACCCAGCGTTTCTTTCCATTGTCTTCACATTCTGTTCCATGGCTGTCTGATGTCTATGGATCCACAAGAAAAGAATATTAGTCAACTCTTTGATAATAAAAATGATTTTAACAAGTAACCTGATATACAGAAACACCTTGGAGCTTGGAATCCAGGGATCTAAACTTCTAGCCTGACCCTACAATCCACTCACCAGTTTTGTAACCTCAAGGAAGTCACCTATGCTCAAGTATCTCAGTCTTAGAATCTCAAAAATGGGAAATATTTGTCCTACTTGACAAATGTTAATCTTCCTAACTCTTCCTCCTTGCCACCCATACCTGCTTCAGTCTGTGCTCTAAGGAAGAATCCGTAAGTTATCCTGGAATTCTCTCCTCCATAACTAAGAAATCAAGCCTCTTGCATAGGTACTTTTTTACAGTCTTAGTTTCAGACCTCACCATTTTTATCTATGATTAATATAGTCTGGCTTCTGTTTCCCGTCTTCTAATTTCCCATCCCAGATTCCTACTGCAAATCCTTTTTTACACACCGGTGTTCTAGCTAAAACACAAATGTAATCACATCTGTCTTCCTGCTTCAAAACCTTTACGATCTCCTCATTACCTATAGAATCAAGTCCAAGTTCTTGCTTACAAGTTTCATCTACTTCATTTTCAATTATTTTCCACTGTTCTCTGATTTAAAAAAAAATGTAAAAGCAGAAACTTTAAAATTGGTTAGATATGAAAATGATCCTACCTGTCTTTGAAGAAAAAGATCTTATCTCCCACTGTAGTGACAGCATCAAAACTCAAATTGGGGTCACAGAGTGCTGGTTTAGAATTTTCAGGCTTTGGCATGGGTTGGTACTCTTTTGGACCTCCAGAAAATACATTTCAAGAAGCATTAGAAAACAAAATCTGCATTTTAGTTCAGAGGAGGAAAACTGTTATTTTTAAATACTAAATTTTCTTAATGAACATTGTATCAAAATCAATTTAAGCATTCTATAACGTTTACAGGAAGCATAAAGTAAGATGTTTTTATCCATATGGTTGCAATATCATGGAGAAAGAAAATCTGATTATCTTTACTTTCCTTTTCCAGTTAAAATAAATTATTTAATATGCAGGCCCTCCTCTGTAAGGCAATGGTATCTTAGATAAAAAGAACACCAGATTTGAGGCCTCTGGTTCTGCCTCTGGCTCTGACATTAACATGCTAGGTCTCTTGTCCTCATCTGTAAGATGAAGATAATACTGTGTCGCCTACCTCACAGGGTTTTTATGGAGTTCAAAATACATATATTTAAGTTTTAGTCAAATATAGATAATGTTAGACTATTCATAAAAGTATCTTTATATGGCAAAATGATAAATAAATTCAACTCACCATAGAGTGACTGAATGCCACGTATGTCATCAGCAGAGAGGCGAAATGTGCTGAGATCAACATATTTGTAGGTGGGGAACATGATGGCATTTGGATCATTGGAATGGCCAAGACCTAAGGAATGGCCAATCTCATGAACAGCAACAAGGAACAAATTCGTGCCTAAGAAGAAACCAATCAAAAGACAGAAACCTGTGAAATGCATTATCATCTTGGACAATATCACAATATCTGACACAGTGAAAAAGAAACATTTAAGAATCTTTTACTTATTTCTATACCCTTTTGAATAGGGTTTCTCAACCTCAGCACTACTGACATTATAGGCCAGTAGTCTGGGATGTCTTGTGTAATATAGATGTTTAGAAATCTCAGGTTTTACCCCTAAATGCAAGTAGCAAATCCCTTTTTAGTTTTGACAAAGAAAAATGTCTCCAGACATTGTCGGATGACCCCTGGGGACAAAATTGCCTCTGGTTAAGGACTGCCTTACTAGTAGACAAATAAAATATATTCTGTTGTAAAAATTTCTAGAATAACTCACAGCTACCTTCAAAAGTTTTCATTGTTCTAAATAATTCTCAACTCTCATGACTCAATTCTGGTTTTACTCTTCATGAAGCTTTACTAGATCTAGAAAAAAATATCTTTAGCAATCGTCTTTTCCTAAACCCAAATATAAGGTTATCATTAAGCTTCAGGTGCTGTGAGTCACCGAGAAATGTAACACATTATGTGTAATTCTCACACAGCTGAAAGAAAGCCACTGTGCTCTCCATTACAGATGAGGAAACAGTATCAATAAGATTAATCAAATTAAGTGCTTGAACCAAGATTTAAATCCAAATTTCTTGGCTCTAATGTGCATGCTTTTACTGCACATGATTCTAAATAAAAGTAAAGATTCTATATGACTCAAGGAAATAATGTAAAAAAACAAAGAAAAAAGAAAAAATAATTCTTAAAAAAGTCTATACTTATAATTTAGACATATTTGGACTACCAAGTTACAGTGTTTTCTGTCTTTTCTTTTGAGCCCCATTCAGAATTCATCATTTTTATCTATGATTAAAATAGTCTGTCTTTAATATCTGTCTTTTCTTTTAAGTCCCGTAAGAATTCCTTGTTCATTTTTGTGGTACGTCCTGGAGAACGCACCTTTGTAGGTAAGAGAAGAGAGAGAGGTATGTCCCTTCTCTCAAATATCTCAATTTGCAGAATATTTGAAACTTCCTAACATTTTTTGCTTTCTAGTCCAATGCCTTCATTTTTGTTCTATGAAAAAATTGTAGTTAAGAAGAACTGACTTCCCCAGAGTCACACATCAGTTAGCTGCAGAACCTGACCTTGAAATACTCTCCCGTACCCAAGCGCAAAGAGTCTACACCTCCCTTTCGAAGTGTCTAGACACAAATCCTTCAAGAATTTTCTGTATCATGGGTCCAGCAAAGATTTTACAATTTAGCCAAACCTGAATTTATCCTTTTCTCAATTCCTATATGTCTATGAGCCACTACCATTGATCCTCATCTCAAAATAATGGATTTATGTTTGTATCCTGTTTCTCACTAGATTGTGTGCTCAAGGGTAGGATTGTGTCCTTTTCATCTCTGTACTCAAATAGCCTCATTACCCAATACTGTAATTAAATAGGCCAGCAAGCATTAACTTATTTGTTTATTTAATTTACTGAGTAAAAGAAAACAGGCTGAGGCTGGATTCAGTGGCTTACGCCTGTAATCCCACCACTTTGGGAGGCTGAGGCAGGCAGGTCACCTGAAGTCAGGAGTTTGAGAGCAGCCTGGCCCACATGGTGAAACCCCGTCTCCACTCAAAAAAAAAAAAAAAAAAAAATAGCCATATGTGGTGAACAGCACCTGTAATCTCAGCTAGTGGGGAGGCTGAAGTAGAAGTGCCTGAAACCTGGAGACGAAGGTTGCAGTGAGCTGAGATAGCACCACTGCACTCCAGCCTGGGTGACAGAGCAAGACTCCATCTCAAAAACAAACAACAACAACAAAACAGGCTGAAAATAAGCATTTTAAGTTATAATTGTCATGATTTTTTGAAAGCATTGAATCAATCCAATTAAAAAATAAGGCAACATGGACAGGTGGAAAATACTGGGCTAAGAGGTCGGAATGCATGTTCTGGCCCAGCTTTTCCGCAAACTAGCCACTAACTGTCTCTTGGTCTTAATTTCCTTTACCTATAGAAAGCTGTATAAAATTACTCTTCTAAGGTTCATTAGAATTCCAAAACATTTTTTGAGGCTAACTAGCACAAGTATCCTAAGACGAAAGGGTTACAATCCCCAAATAACCTTGGATAACATTTAGGCACATGTAACATGTCTGACTGAGGATTTGCAGTTCAGCAAGTACCTAAATCCTACATGATCTGTCTTTTAACAATATAAAAGTCCTCTTCTCATCAAAAACTTTAAGCCTTAGGCTATGTGTTAGACTAGAACAGTCTTTCTGGTGGACATAGTATCTAAAAAAATAGTGACATTCAACATGTGCAATATCACCCAGAGAGGAGGATGGTGAGTAGAGAATATCCTTAACGACTTTCTCCGCATTTACTTTCCACATGAGGGAGTCATAGAATCTAAAATTTCCAATGGAAGAATTAAAAAGGCTTCTGACATGATGGCTAGGATTTTCCTGTGCTAGTGATTCCCCTAAATAACAGCAGAGTTTAGTTAACCTCATGTCAACTATCTGAAGGAGTTGATAAATTACAGTCCTTCTATAAATGCTCCCAATGTGTTAAATATTCAATTAGGCATTCTGAAGTTTTTATCCCAAGACCACATGAGACTACATGACTGTATAATCTTGTGTTTCTCTATAGGAATATCTAGATTTTCTATAACTTTTTCTTTCTCGTTCACTATGAATCTAAGAAATTGTCAGCATATTATGAATCATATAGATGACCATCTTATCCTCTAATTATTGGCAAACACAGAATTAGTGTGTTTGATTTTGAGTTTATGGATTTCACTGTCAAAAAGTAATCACCTAGGCTGGGCACAGTGGCTCACACCTGTAATCCTAACACTTTGGGAGGCTGGGAGAGGAAAATCTCTTGACGCAACATAGCAAGATCCTGTCTCTACAAAAATAAAAAAATTAACTAGGCGGATAGCGCACACCTGTGGTCCTTGCTACTAGGGAGGCTGGAGTGGGAGGATTGCTTGAACCCAGAAGTTCAAAGCTATAGTGAGTTAGCATCATGACACCTCATGCCAGCCTAAGTGACAGAGCAAGAGCTTGTCACAAAAACAAACAAAAAAACCAAATTGCCTAAATAACAGCTTTTACCTTTTCATATTAAGCTTCTTAAGGTTCTTTTGAGTTTATACTGATGAACAGTTCATAGTTCATAGAATCTTCATAGATTGTTAGAGCTGATCTTCAAGATGATCTAGTTTAATATCATCAATTTACAGGGGGTGAAATTGAGGTCCAGACAAAGTGTTAAATTTGATTTAGAGGCAAAATTATAATCAGAACAAGATTTTTCATCGTGTAATCATTTGTCACAATGTAGTCTTTTGAAACCAGAATTTTGAATTTGTTAGGGTTTTTGTTGTTTTCCTTTCCTGTTTGCTTAGTTTTTTTTTGCCCACCTTTGGAATTTATAGTCCAGAATTCGTCCTCATCAAAATGTGTATCCCCTCCAATGCCATCTCCAGGTCCAAAAGCATGGGCTATGACTCCACCTCTGCCATCAAAAGCATTGTAGTCTCCATGAGCTTTTGGAAAAGGAAAGAAAATTAGTCCTTCTATACATCCTATAGATCATGCCAAATGACAAAGATGAAGTACAAGTTCTCTACCTCCACGTGCAAAAAACATCACAATGTCAGCCACGCCTGTGTTAATCTTGCTGAATTTCAAGGGGCTAACATTACTCCATACTTGGAAAGCTTTCTGGATTGTGTAGTCAACATCCTCATGGTTCATGTCAGGTGTATAATTATGGATGCTTTATCAGCAAAAAGAGAGAAAAAATGTATGGAAAGCACATGTTAACTTTGTCTTATAATACTTCATTTTTGCTAGCACAATTGGAAGATGGATCATTTCATAAATCAAGAATCCAGATTTTAAAACTTGCTTCATTAAGTGCAGAAACACTTTTCCTTGGACAACTTCCTTCTTAACCAAAATCCAACTTATATTCTTCTTATTTAAAACTCACAGGTCATCAGAGTAAAGGATTTGCTTTCACAGAAGCTTATGCTTTTAGCTCCTGATCCCAGATTCTGCATTTATCCATCTTGACTACTCTATAAACTTCCCCCTCTCTCTTATTTATAGTAAATTTAGTTTCATTTTCCATTTGCAGCTTTTAAAATCTGCTTTGGACTGGCAAGCCAAACGACTCACCCGAGTGAACAGTTCTTTCTTCTGAAGAAAAAAAATATATATATTTTGAGATGGAATCTCTCTCTGTCACCCAGTGTCATGCAGTGGCATGATCTCAGCTCACTGCAAACTCCACCTCCTGAGTTCAAGTGATTCTCTCGCCTTAGCCTCCCAAATAGCTGGCACTGCAGGGGCATGTCACCACGCCTGGCTAATTTTTGTATTTTTAGTAGAGATACAATTTCACCATGCTGGCCATGATGGTCTTGATCTCTTGATTTTGTAATCCACCCACCTCAGCCTCCCAAAGGGCTGGGATTACAGGAGTGAGCCACTGTCTCCGGCCGAGAAAATGAATTTTAACAGAGATAGCGTTAACAATTGAGGGAGGTTACTTTATCTACTTCCAGATTTAGGGCTGTGTCTGACTGGTTCAGGTTAGGAGTCAGACCTATGGGAAAGTAGAAAATACAGGGCAATATGCACCAACATTACCTGTAGGTAATATAATGTTTCTTCCATACCGGCCTCCCTGCCATTGTTGTGAAATGATGGACATCAGGGACTCCACATCGAGGTGTGTGCATCGTCTCCAGAGTAGATGTGTCCAATTGCCCAGTTACTTTCAGCCCCAAGAACTGCTGCATTTCCTGAATTTTTTCCTTTAGTAAGTTTCCACTGGCTTTCATTTTTGTCACTGGAAGTTTGTTCTTCTCAAGGCCATAAAAATTTTCTAAGTATCTCTGGAAAAAAATCCATTCAGTAATGCAAAATTGCACACAGAAAAGTTTCTGTTGGGAGCTCCATGTATATGACTAAATTACACACTAATGCTTTCAGACCAGGAATTTTGCACATCTTACAGGTTAGATTATTATTGCTTGGACAATTATAATGAGGGAAAAAAAATCATAATTTTTTGTGCTATCAAAGATGTGTCAGTCAGGAGCAGTGGCTCAGGCCTATAATCCCAGCATTTTGGGAGGCTGAGGCAGGAGGATTGCTTGAGCCCAGGCGTTCGAGACTAGCCGGACAACATGGCAAAACCTCCTCTGTCTAAAAAATACAAAAATTATCCCAGAGTGTTTGTGCATGCCTGCAGTCCCAGATACTCAGGAGGCTGAGGTGAGAGGATCACTTGAGCTTGGGAGGTAGAAGCTGCAGTGTGCCATGTTCCTGGAATCCCAGTGGAAATATCTTCTTAAAAATGTATTTAAGAGACGGAAGTCTCTCTTGGTTACCCAGGCTGGTCACAGTGGTGCACACCGGTAATCCCAGCACTTTGAGAGGCCAGGGTGGAAGGATTGCTTGCGCCACAGAGTTCAAGACCACCCTGGGCAACATGGTAAAACCCTGTATCTTATTAAAATACAAAAATTAGCTGAGAGTGGTGGCACGTGCCTGTAGTCCCAGCTAGTTGAGAAGATGAGGCAGGAGGATCACCTGAGCCCAGGAGACAGATGTTGCAGTGAGCCAAGATTGCCACTGCACTGTAGTCTGGGTATCAGCATAAAACCCTGTCTCAAAAAAAATACATGTATTATTAATATTATTATTATAAGCTGGGATACAAATTTCTTGCTTAAAAACTCAAAGCTAAACAAAGTAGACAACTATGATAAATTCAATGTTACAATAATCTTAGAGAATAGGGAGACAAAACTTTTTTTTTTTTTTTTTTTTTTTTTGAGACGGAGTTTCGCTCTTGTTACCCAGGCTTGAGTGCAATGGCGTGATCTCGGCTCACCGCAACCTCCGCCTCCTGGGTTCAGGCAATTCTCCTGCCTCAGCCTCCTGAGTAGCTCGGATTACAGGCACGCGCCACCATGCCCAGCTAATTTTTTGTATTTTTAGTAGAGACAGGGTTTCACCATATTGACCAGGATGGTCTCGATCTCTTGACCTCGTGATCCACCCGCCTCGGCCTCCCAAAGTGCTGGGATTACAGGCTTGAACCACCGCGCCCGGCCGACAAAACTTTTTTAATTAAGGAAAAGAAACTAAGAATTGAAAAAAAAAAATCCATTAAAAATGCTATAAAGATAGGCCCAGCATAGTGGCTCATGCCTGTAATCCTATCACTCAGGGAGGCTGAGGCAGAGGGTTGCTTGAGTCCAAAAGTTACAGACCAGCCTGGGCAACAAGTAGGACCCCATCTCCATAAAAAAAAAAAACAACAAAAAAACCTATAAAGATATATCTGACATGACTGAGGGTAAAGGGAATATGCTTAGATAGTTATGGCAGCCTGAAGTGGTTATATTAATGAAATCATTGTTCGGATCTCAGATTATTAACTGACATTTAATGACTAGTGTAAAATACCATAACAGAAGTGAACTCCAATTATATTGAATGGAAATTTCTTGGCCAAAGGATTTTAGAAGGAACAAGTTCAGTTGCCAATATCATAACACTCCTTCAAATCCAATACCTCTTTTTTATATTCTTCTTTGGCAAAGAAAATCTTAATACTGAAAGCAGACAGCCTCCTAGACCAATTTTCAACTGGTTCTTCAAAGAAACAAAAAAAGTGGTTAATGCAATAAATCTTAAAAGACAAACATCAAGCTAGATAAATACTGTAGCGTCTATACTTACTTCACCAAATAGCTCATTATTTTTTTCCAGGCTTGTAGAGCTGTTCAGGGGAAGAGCTCCAGAAGCAGTGGCCTGCAGGAGCAGTAGTAGAAGAAACTTCATTGTAAACTTCTAAGTGGATCAACTCAGTTTACTCTGTTCCTTTCTAGCCTAAGTTCCTGAAACGTTCCTCTTTATATAACTCTTAGGCCAGGCTCTGTGAATGTGAATCCTATGAGTGACTCATAGTTGATATCATCCTTTGATTTATCTCAAAAGCATGCAAAGAAAGCATGACCTTATTTGACCAACAATGGGTCAATTAGCATCTAGTCCATCACTCAAGCAATACAGAGTATATATAATCAAAATGATAAATAAGCCCCTACTTCCACCTATACTACAAAATATCCCCTTGTAAAAGAAATATCAAGCAACTGAAAGAGAAAGAGGACTTAAGATATATTTTCTTAAAGCCTGATATTCTTGATTTTCATTCCAATACTTTCCTTATATTCATTATAGATAAAATAAGTTTTTAAAATAAATTTTTAAAGATTAGCTAAAATCTTTTTGCTGGAGTAGATAGATGCGGTCTAAACCGAATCTAGCTCCCCAGAGAAATGTGATATAGAGATTTTACATGTAGCAAAAAAAAGTTTGTAATATCGTGATACTTCATTGTATGTTCCGCGGGTTGCACTGGCTTAGATTCTGATTCTGTGACTTAACATCTTCAGACATCTGAGCTGAAGCCCAGTCCCAACTGGGTACCTGGATAGATTCCAGAGGCAAACTTTCTCACCTCCTAGATAGCCTTGGTTGGTAGGATGCGGGTTAACTCTTTTCAACTTTAGCAGATCGAAAAAATTTACCTCTGGAATCTACCTGCCCATCACCTCAGCTTCCTTTTGCCTTGACCTAATTGTCTCATTGTACAGAACATGCCTCTTACTCAATAGAGAATATTTAAGCGCTAAAAACATTAACGAGTCAAGCAATAAAATTCCAACAGTAGAACTGCAAGCAGTGGTGCTGCAGCATGAGGATAGATTCTACTGAACACCCCTTCAAATCCCACCACAACTTTTCTTCCTCCTGATTGTATAGGGACAATCTGGTCAGTGTGGTAGGGGACACATAATAGTGTGTTATGATTTAGTCATTGCTCTGGCCCACCTCTGTGGCCAGGGAAACAGTCTGTTGGCTGCTTGAGTGAAGCTTAAAGAAAAGGACAAAAATGTAGAAGAAAAAATAATTATCTAATTTCAAAATTATCTTGCCTAACTCTTGCAGAGAGCTATGCAGATTCTTTCTGATCTGTTCTCCTCTCTCTAGCCATTGGTTTGTTTTCTCTGAGTCTATTTAACCTACAAATACAGGTGGCCATTCCCTTATGAGAATGTCACCTTTAATGACACAAAGTTTAACAGACTTGCTTTCTGTGAGCTAAATAATATCTCTAAATCCAAATCACTTGGCTTTATAAATGTTTTCCAGAAAATTGTTATCAATCCTCTGGCAAGATGCCACATCAGACAAGGTGAAACTGGTGTCATGGGTCACTGACTGACCTGGTAATGTAGAGTACAGGCTACTTCATAAAGACGTGCATTCTCAGTGTGGGTGATATCACCCCCAGCTGGGTGAAAAATTGGTCATCAAAGGCAATAAAAGAATCTTTTTTGTGTATAAAGGACAGATATGCATACACTCCATGAGCAGATAGACAGTTTATCTCTGCTATTAAATTTTTATGGGGGAAATCCCTAAAGTGTCTACAAAGCCTCTTTTATCAGGAGCAGTAATAAATGTTGAAAAACCCTAAACTCTGTATTACAAAGGAAACAGAACCAATATGATGGAAAGGCTTTAACAGCTGCCAGCTGATTCGTGCACAGTCTTATTTAATCCTCACAATAGTCATTTACGGATGAGGAAACTGAACTCAAATAACTTACCCAAAGCCACACAACTAGTAGGTAGCATAGCTGAGGTTTGAGGCCAAGTCTGTTTCTAAAGCCTTGCTGTTTCCATTAAACCAGGCTGCAAAATCAAAGTCAGTTCAGAGATGCTTGAGTCATTCTCTCTACCCTCAGATATTTACCTTGCTGTTAGAGAGCAAGAACAGGAAAATAAACAATTCACTAACAACACATATGTGTACATCATCACATTGTCTCCACCTTATAATGTACAGTATAGGACAAGTTAATTTGTCTAAGTCCACACAACTGGCTAAGATGGCTCTAAACATTATGCTTCTCAGAGGTGCTCTGGGCCAATTCCTGGGGAGCCCTAGCAGCACAAGGCACCTTAGAAGCAGGGCACTGCTCAGGCCATGGCAGGCGAGGAGATGGAAGAAGTTTGTCTTCCAGAAAACAGACGACTACTGCTATCACCCTGGGAACCCAGATTCACCTACAATATTCCTAGGACTGTCTACCTACTCCTGGCACCTGCAAGAGCAGAGGGGACAGCATGGCTTTAACTAAAAAGCATGAAAGTGTGTATCACAGTATTATTTTTGTAGTGTGTTTGTAGTAATAAGATACTCATAGAACTTGGAGGGGTGCCTCACACCTGTAGTCCCAGCTACACAAGAGGCTGAGGTGGGAGGATCCCTTTGGCCAGGAGTTCGAGGCCAGCCTGGGCACCATGGCAAGACCTATCTTTTTTTTTTTTTTTTAAAGATATTCACATGACCCAAATTTGAAGAAAGATCAAAATGAAATGTGTTGTAGCAATAAGTCAGGAGAGGGTCAAGAGACCTCCCGGATGTCTCCTCAAGCAATTCGCTTCCCTTTTCTGAACTTCCATTTCTTCATCCATAAAAGGAAAAGGTGAACTAGCGGAAGTATTCTTCCTCCATGGACAGACTCTTGGTGTGTGAAAGGGATTTCTTTGTGTCTCTTGGAAGAATTCTTCCCTCTAGTTCTTGCTGATGACATACTTAGATTTGCACAGATGACTGCAGGTGATTGTATCAGGGATATACCCTGGAATGTCCTAGTGTCTGGTTAAAGAAGGAAAAAATATAATAGATAGTATGTCTTATATAACAGCGATAGTATGTCCTTAGATACTTTTGGAAGCTTAGTGCTATAAAATCTGCCTTATGATAAGGAAACTCCTCTCAGCAGTTTCTCATGAGGAACTCTAAAGTCAGCTACTTTCTGCATTACTTTCTTCTTCACACAGAGCATGGCCAGTGACCTCTTGATTCTTGATTTCCTCAGTGTGGCCCCTAGAAGCCATGTCTCTACTAGGACCCTCAGCTTCCAATCTGGGCCTATGTCAGAATCATTTCATACTCCTTTCTACCACAGGATAGAGATCTGGGTAGATAGTTGATTTTCCTTCTCATCCCCTTTACCAACCTCTTTGAGGTTTGCCTAAGAGTGTAGTAAAGGAAGATAGCAATCATTGACCCCTCAAGTGTCAGGCCATAGACTAAAACTTTTCCCTATTATTTAATGGAATCATTGTAACAACTCTTTTCCAGTAGCTACCATTATTATTCTAATTTTACAAACAAATTAAGTGTTAAAGAGATTGAAGTGATTTCCCAAGGTCTTGCAAAGTCAGTGCTAAGATTCCAAGGCAAGTTATCTTGACTCCAAGACCTCCGTTGGTAATCACCTCAGTGTTCCATGGCTGCCCAAGTGGTCTTGATCTCCTCACACTTGACCAATCTGGGATACTTGGTGAAACAAGACCTAGAGAGAATCAAAATGTGGGTGTAGTATCCTATTTTTATTTCCAATGAAGACATTCTTTCACTTCTTTGTGTCTTTAGCAGCTTTCTTTTTCCTGTATCTTACACCCTACACTATCAAGAGATTTCCTGCCAATCTTCCAAGAACAGATTCCTTCCTGCTGTGGTTAAGACCTGTTCTTGCTTTCAATAAGTCTTAGGAACACATCCTCCCTGTAATGACTGTTCCACAATGGAAGTTCCCTCCTGATGTTCTTTGGACCCTATTGTCCTGCGAGATTCATTCATGCATGTTTACCGAGCACCTACTAACTTCAAGGCAGTTCTAGGCACCACACCAGGAATACAGTGGTGGAGAACCAGAGCCTCATCTGGCTGCAGACTTAGATGCATGATGTTTTCCTCTCAGGCCAAGGGGAGAACATAAATATTAGTGAACAGCGATAGTATGTCTTAGAATTTATAATACATTGTCACATTTAATCATCACAGAAACATAAAGACGCAAAGGTTACTTATTTATTTTTTTAGAGATGAGGTTTCATTTTATTGCCAAGACTGGAGTACAGTGGCACAATCATAGCTCACTAATACTCCTAGGCTCAAGTGAACCTCCCAACTTGGCCTCCTAAGTAGCTGGAACTAAGGCCTGCACCACCACAGGCAAAGGTTATTATCCCCATTTTTTTTTTTTTTAAGATGGAGTTTCCTTCTGTTGCCCGGGCTGGAGTGCAGTGGTGCAATCTTGGCTCACTGCAAGCTCTGCCTCCCAGGTTCAAGCGATCTCCTGCCTCAGCCTCCTGAGTAGCTGGGACTACTGGCACATGCCACCACACCCAGCTAATTTTTGGGTTTTCAGCAGAGATGGGGTTTCACCATCTTGGCCAGGCTAGTCTCAAACTCCTGAGCTCAGGTGATCTACCTGCTTGTCTTCCCAATGCTGGGATCACAGATGTGAGCCATCACACCCAGCCATTATTCTCATTTTTGAAGGAAACACCAGAGGGTCCTAGAAGTCAGATCACAGAACTTGAAAAAGGTAGGGTGTGCAGTTGGATGCCAGGGATGATGCAGTGGGCCTCTTTTTCTTCTACTTGGGAAGTGAATCATTCTCCTGGAGTCCCAGCTCCAGAGAAATGCTGGAGAGAAGCCACATTTCTTATCTGAGCATTTGTGACCCCAAGCACATTATTCACATTCTTACTTCTTTCCAAGAGCCTAAATCGACTAAAGTGAATGCAATTTAGGAAGACAATAACTCCTGAAGTGAGTTAATATTGAGAGTGATGGGAGAGTCTGTGGGTTCTGAGCATCAGGAAGAACTGAGCCCCACTCCATGGCAGCACTGCAAGGTTGTGGTGGGACCGCAGAAGGAATCATCACAGGGTGCAGCAGGGAAGTGAGA